TTCACATTATGTTAGGTCACATTATGGGAGAGACCTTACTGCCAAACTGCTGAAGATCCTGGACCAACCAAGTTGACACAAAACTTCACTGTTACACCATTCTTCTCATACAGTGACTTATTTTATTCAGATTAGTATAATAAAGACAACTGTCACATGAAAGGAGATTTAGGAGGGTGGGACATAACTAGGACAAAAGTCAATTGCAGCCAATTTATTAACAATCTTGATTAGCAGAGCTTAAGGATTTAGACTTTAACTTATAGGTAATTGTGACTTAAAGATTAAAAATAAGTTTTAGAAAAATAATCTCAGGTATCATGGAGAGTGGGAAAATTAAAAAGGAGATGTTGGTTCAAGTGGGAAACAGGAAGGTAAGGGAGAAGAACAGTGGGTGGTAAATTAACATAATAAATTGATTTATGCCCTTTCCTTTGGTCTGAACTTCTTAAGTCAATACTGATTTCCTCTCTTCCACAGCTCTTATTCAGAAGAACTCTGTGTATATGATAAAACTTCCAACAATCATTTTACTTCATCTGTGTGTGAGTTTTCAGCCGAGAAATGTTTGAATAATCGACAACTGCACTTTTTACACATTGGTTCCTGCCAAGAAGGCCAGCAGTTAGAATGGGGTCTTGAAAGGGTAAGCCTTTCATCAAACAGCACCAAAAAAGAACCCTGTGGCTACGACACCTGCTATGACTGGGAGAAATGCTCAGGTAAGCGCCACAGGTGACAGCGTGCTAGAAATGCTCTTGCTTTTCAGCTGTTACGCACCCTATTTGCTTTATACATAATCTTTACTAAAACTAACATTTAATGGATCAAGAATAATTTCATAGTTAAAAAAATTACAAAATCCTTTAAATTGAAAGAAAAATATGTGACCTTCCTACAATTATAAAGAACCACCTTACAGAGCTGACAGATTGCTGGTATAACTAGAAGCCCCATAATATCTTTTTTCAATTTGCCCAGGAACCTCAAAGGTGCTCATACATATAATTCATTCTTAAAAGATAAACTGGGATCACTCACTACACAGTATTTTATACATAACTATTTTGAACTTAATGTATCATGAAACAATTTTCAATGTCCTTATGCATTATTCTGTCATACCATTTGACATGTTTCCCTGGGTAATGTCGATATGGATTTTCTGTGATCTATTTAACTAAATTTCTAGCCATAATTGTTTTTTGTTGTCATTTCTGTTGTTGGTTATGTGACTCAGAGCGACACTTTGTTCAACAGAACGAATGCTGCCAGGTCCTGGGCCATCGTCACAGTGGTTGTTAGGTTTGAGCCC